AAAAAAAAAAGGAACTTTGATAGTTCTTGATGTAAAAAAAATGACAATTTCATATTTTTAGTGAAAATCAGAGCAGGCATTGCAGTGGAAAGACTCCTGTCAGTCTGACAACATGAGTCAAAATTGCTCTAAAATAGAGTTCACAAACCCACAATTCATAGGTTAAATGTGGTCAACAGATATTTTTGTTTGTTTGTTTGTTTGCTTGCTTGCTTTTTTGGTTTTTCGAGACAGGGTTTCTCTGTGTAGCCCTGGCTGTCCTGGAACTCACTCTGTAGACCAGGCTAGCCTCGAACTCTCGAACTCAGAAATCCGCCTGCCCCTGCCTCCCAAGTGCTGGGATTAAAGGTGTGCGCCACCACCGCCCAGCCCAGCTCTGGATTTTGATAAGTGTGTTTAAGCACTTTATTCTACTTTAGTGTGATTCTAGCACTTTCAGGAGCCTGAGGGTAGGCCATCTGGGATACTCTGAGTAAGATCTTGTCTCAAAACCAAATAAGCAAATGAATAATATATCATATATCTGGGGGTGTATGTGGAATAAATAGCTCAGCCATTAAAAGAACTGGCTGCTCTTCCAGGGGACCCAGTTCAATTCCCAGCCCCCACATGGCAGCTCAGAACTGTAACTCCAGTTCCAGGGGGCGCACATAGTGCACATATATATGCATGCACAAAATACTCATAAAATAAAATAAATCTGCCGGGCGGTGGTGGCGCACGCCTTTAATCCCAGCACTTGGGAGGCAGAGGCAGGCAGATTTCTGAGTTTGAGGCCTGAATGGTCTACAGAGTGAGTTCCAGGACAGCCCGGGCTATACAGAGAAACCTTGTCTCAAAAAACAAAAAAAAAAAAAATCTTTTTTTTTTCTGTTTTGTTTTTTTGAGACAGGGGTTCTCAATTTAGCCCTGACTATCATGGAACTCATTCTGTAGACCACGTGGTCTTGAACTCAAAGATCCACCTGCTTCTGCCTTCTGAGTTCTGGGATTAAAGATGTATACCATTATGCCTGGTAAAATAAATAACTCCTTTAAAAAAGATAACGAAATACTTCTGTTTTTAGTGAAGCATGGTGGCATGCCTGAAATCCCAGCACTTGGAAGGCTGAGGTAGAAGTAAGTACTACCTCAAATTCAAGGCCAGACTGGACCACATAGCAAGACCCAGTCTCAACCAGAACCAGAGGGCTGGAGAGATGGCTTATGGACGGCACCCACTGATACTGCAGGGGACCTGGTTCAACAGCATCCCATATGGTGACCTGTAACTCCAGTTTCAGGGGTTCCGATTCCCTCTGGGAATACATACAGATCATACATACAGGTGGTACACATACATACAGATCATACATACAGGTGGTACACATACATACAGATCATACATACAGGTGGTACACATACATACAGATCATACATACAGGTGGTACACATACATACTTGTAAATAAAAGCCTCATACATATCAAGTAAAATTTAGAAATTCTTGGGGCTGGAGAGATGGCTCAGTGGTTAAGAGCACTGACTGCTCTTTCAGAGGTCCTGAGTTCAAATCCCAGCAACCACATGGTGGCTTACAACCATCTGTAATGAGATTCGATGCCCTCTTCTGGTGTGTCTGAAGACTGCTAGCTACAGTGTATTCATATATAATAAATAAATAAATTAAAAAAAAAAAAAAAGAAATTCTTGAAAAGCAAAACACTACCATAATGAAGCTGGAGGGATGACTCATTGAGTATGTATCCTAGCATCCCTCTCAGGTAGATTACAAATGCTCCTAACTCCAGCTCCCTGAGGAATCCATACCTTCTGGCCTCTAAGGACACCTGCACATACCTGGCTAGCTGGCAGACACACACACACACACACACACACACACACACACACACACTGCACATACATTTGAGGATAAACAGATCTCTATGTTTGAAGCCAGCCTGATCTACATATCAAGTTCCAGGCCAGCCAAGACTATGTAATCAAAAACAAACAAACAAAACAAGTTAGTTTCTCTTGTGTTCTTTCATACTTTATTTCATAATTTACAAACATTTTTCTGAGTAAGTATTCAAGACCTTCACCAACATTTCAAAGAGACTCATGGTAGGACTGAAGGCATAAAGCTGCTGTGTACAAGAAATTAATTGCCTTGCCAGGCAGTGGTGGCGCACGCCTTTAATCCCAGCACTTGGGAAGCAGAGGCAGGAGGATTTCTGAGTTCGAGCCCAGCCGGGTCTACAGAGTGAGTTCCAGGACAGCCAGGGCTACACAGAGAAACCCTGTCTCAAAAAACAAAAAGCAAAAAAAAAAAAAACAAAACAAAGACATACGTTGCCTTAACTCTTTCATAAAGGGATGTTTGGCACTGACTTTCTGCATCATTGGGGGAGGGACAGTCTTTTTTTCCCATTTAGATTTATATATTTAATTTTATGAGCCTGCACCAATGCTCACCACAAGTCTATCTGGTGCCTGTGGAGGTCAGAAGAGGACATTGACCCTGGAACTGGAGTTGCAGATGATTGTGAGCCACTGTTTAAGTGCTGGGAATTGAACCCAAGTCCACCACGAGGGTAACATGTGCTCTTAACTGCTGAGCTGTCTCTCCAGGCCCCTCAACGTCTGTCTTTTAGTTCTTTCAAAGGGCAGGGACCACCCCAGAGCACCAAACCACCTGTCCCAGTTGTAAGTTTGCTGTCCCCCAGCAGCCTGAGAGCTGGAGACACTCACACAATGAGACGAACAGATGTGTACCATCTGAGATTTGTCCCATGGCACCTGCCCTAGCTGCAGCTGGGCCAAGGTTTTCACTGGGCACGAGTTTTGGGAAGATGCAAGCAGGAGAGCTTGCCAAATAGGAACTTTCAGATCAAATGGCAACAAACTGACCCAGACAGCTCCAGTTTCTTACGGAGTTTGAACACCCTGGGGTGTCAGCATTGAGATGAGCAGAGGAGATGGCAGATACCAAGGGAGGGATGGTCAGTCAACAGTAGAGATATAGAGATCTGCCGGGACAAGCTGGTCTTCCACCCCACTCTCCAAGGAGAGAGCTGGCCCTGGACCTTGGCACATCTCTGCTCCCCACCTTCCTATCCCAAGAACTCAGAGACTGGAGAAAGGCAGAGGTCTCTGGATACCCACTCTGGATAGTCCACTGCAGAACATGAGGTATGCCAGGAACTCCAAAGGGGAAAGCTGAAGAAACTTTCTCCTCCCTCTGACTCATTATAGGTCTCCATTCCTGGTACTTAGTGTTATGAACTTGTTAATAGCATTTATGTCCTTGGAGGTCCCTACCCAAGGACTTCTGATTTGCTTGACCATGTACAAAGCTATTCCTATTCGAGCTATTGTTGCCTCTGGTGGGGAGGAGAGGCAGAAAGGTCTACATGGGGAGACCTCCATGGACAGGCTCCTTCTATCCCATGGGGACCTGCCATACCTGCCTCTTATAGAATAAACCTAGTTACAATACCTGCCCAGAAACAGATTGAGCGAGCACACCCACATCTTCTCATTCCTTCCTTCCTTCCTTCCTTCCTTTCTTTCTTTCTTTCTTTCTTTCTTTCTTTCTTTCTTTCTTTCTTTCTTTCTTTCTTCCCTTTTTCTTTTGGAAGGGTTTCAATATATTCCTGGCTGAGCTGCAACTCACTGTGTAGAACAGGCTAGTCTCAAACTACAGATCTGATTGCTTTTGCCTCTTCAGTGCTGGGATTAAAGGCATGAGCCACCACACTTCACTCCTAACCATGCTTTAGAGAGGAGTAAAAAGTTCAGAGAGAAGCCAGATGCCTACAGTAAGAAGTAAGGAGTCCAAACAGGGGTTGGGGGCACAGACTGAGTGTGCACTTAAGAGGCTAAGGTTCAGTTACAGGGGAGGGAGGGAGGGAGGGATGGAGGGAGGGAGGGAGAGGCGGAGAGACTAGGGGGGGAGGTAAGAGAGAGAGAGAGAGAGAGAGAGAGAGAGAGAGAGAGAGAGAGAGA